TGCGCAGGAAGAGAAGTCATAATGAAATGAACAAGAAAACCTTCAGAAATTTCCATGTCCATTCCCTTTAATTGAGAGGCCATGTCATTCATCTTTAAGATATGTTCACGAACACCACTCAAACCATCATATTTCATTGTCATCATTTTAATCATGAGAGTACTAGCAAGGGATTTGGAAGTTCCAATGAATTGTTCTTCAATAGATTTCATATAGCTCACTGCACTTTCAGAAACAGGGATTGCTCCTTGAATTGCAAGCGTAATTGAGCCTTTCATTATCATTAGACTTAAGCGATTAGAGCGTTCCCATTTTTCATATAAAGCCATGTGTTCCTTAGAACTTGTAACATTAGGCTTTGTAGGAGCAGGCTCTCTTAATGCATAGTCTAAATCCATAATTCCCAAAACAATTCCAATTTGTTCCTTTCATTTCTTAAAATTAGTTCTGCTAAATTGGATAATCGTGGAATGAGTAAAATCATGATTTTCCTCCAAAGAAATATTTTTGAGATTCATACTCCCACTAATGTTTTCATCCTTTAAGAACACGTCATTTCTAGTTTCAACAATTCTTGTGCTATGAGTGGGACAATAGAATCTAAAACCCTTTGATCTCTCAGGATATCCAATGAAATAACAACTTATAGTTCTAGGGTCTAATTTCTTTATTTGTGGGTTGAAAATTTTTGCTTCAGCAAGACAACCCCATATATGTAAATAATTCAAATTAGGTTTCCTACCAACCCACAACTCATAAAAACTTACAGGCACAGCCTTACTAGGAACATTATTAAGAACATGTACAGTAGTTTTTAAAGCTTCACCCACAAGTAATCTGGCAAAGAAGAGTTACTCATCATGCTTCTCATCATGTCCAAAAGAGTACGGTTTCGTCTCTCAGCTACACCATTTTGCTCAGGTGTATCGAGCATTGTGTAGTTAGCAATAATACCATTCTCAGCTAAAAATAAAGCAAAAACACTTGGATTTTGACCCAACTCAGTGAATCTACCATAATATTCACCGCCTCTGTTAGATCTTACACTTTTAATCCGTCTACCAAGTTAATTTTCAACTTCAACTTTGTAGAGTTTGAACATATCCAATGCTTCTGATTTTTCACGAATAAGATACACATAAGTATACTTAGAAAAGTCATCAATAAAAGTAATAAAATATTTATGTCCAGAAATAGTTGGAACAGTAAAAGGACTACATATATCAGTATGAATTGTGTCTAATAATTCAGTAGTCCTAGTAGTACTATTTTTCTTTGTCTTTGTGTATTTTCCTTTAATGCAATTCATACAAGTACTAAAATCAGAAAAATCAAGTGAACTTAAAATTTTGTCTTTAATAAGACGTTCCATCCTTTCTCTTGATATGTGGCCCAAGCGTTTATGCCACAACATGGATGAATTTTCATTCACTTGTTTTCTCTTTTTATTTACCAAGTCGTTTACATGAAAGGATAAAAGAGATTGTGCATAAGTGGAATCTAAATTCAATGAATAAAGATTACCATATAAAGTACTAGAACCAATCATATGAGAATTGTGAAATAAAGGGACTATTATTTAAATTCATAACCACAGGAATTAACTTGTGAAACAGAAATTAGGTTTCTAGTAAAAACAAGAACATAAACTATGTTTACTAAATCTAAAATGAAACCAGAGTCTAAAATTAGACGGAGGGTGCCAACAGCCTCGGCATCCACTTCTATTCCATTCCCAACTGTAATGGTTTGTTCTCCTTTATTTAGTTTCCGACTTGTAAGGTACCCCTGCAAGGAATTTGTTATGTGAATACTTGCACCAGTGTCAATCCACCAAGAATTTGGTGGAACATCTACCAAAAAGGATTCATAAGATATAAAGCATTGAGTGTTACCTTTCTTGTCCAACCAACTTTTAAAACCTAGACAGTCTTTTCTTATGTGACCTTTCTTTCGACAGAAATGGCATCGAATCTTATTTTCTTCATTAGCCTTGTGAGTTTCATTATTTGCATTCTTCTTCTTCTTACTTTTGCCTATCTCGAAAATCTTTTTGGTTGGACCCAAGGTGGTAAGATGAGCCATATCAGGCTTTTCAGGTTTAAGCCTCTCTTCTTCTTGAACACACATTGCAATTAACTCGCTCATCTTCCACTTATGTTTCTGCGTATTATAATTGATCTTGAAATGACCAAATTGTATAGGAAGAGAAGTCATAATGAAATGAACAAGAAAACCTTCAAAAATTTCCATGTCCATTCCCTTTAATTGAGAGGCCGTATCATTCATCTTTAAGATATGCTCACGAACACCACTCAAACCATCATATTTCATTGTCATCATTTTAATCATGAGAGTACTAGCAAGGGATTTGGAAGCTCCAATGAATTGTTCTTCAATAGATTTCATATAGCTCACTGCACTTTCAGAAACAGGGATTGCTCCTTGAATTGCTAGCTAATTGAGCCTTTCATAATCATTAGACTTAAGCGATTAGAGCATTCCCATTTTTCATATAAAGTCATGTGTTCCTTAGAACTTATATCATTAGGCTTTGTAGGAGGTGGCTCTCTTCATGCATAGTCTAAATCCATAATTTCCAAAACAATTCTAATTTGTTCCTTCCATTTCTTAAAATTAGTTCCACTCAAAGCTTCAATACCAGACAAGTAACTATTAATTGCAGTAGGATTCAATGTTGCAAACACATAATATCTATTACATAATATAATCAAGAAAACTATTTTTCACATGTCATGAATAAAAATAACACCACAAGTTAAATATATCTAATTAGAAAGCACAATTAGTTAGATACGAAATCAAGTTATCCTTCTGTTGGGCCAAATAATAATATATTTTAGCAATTCATAAAAGTAAATGAGATGACTAATAAAAATAAATAACATAAAATAAAATAAAATAATCAATAAGACCGTAACGAGTTTATCACCGTTGGGCACAAAAACTCAATGTCTTATATTATTTTATTAACTAAAGCACGTGAGAAGTTTATCACCATTGAGCAAAAAAACTTATTGCTATATTTATTATACTAATCATCTCGGTTGTTCAAACATACATAGTGTTGAACCTCCATTGGGCTGATCAACAATGTTTCAACCCATAAGGTATGTAACAAAACATTATAAGTGCATAAGACATTATCTTAATTACCACTTGTTCAATAATTTTCAATTTTTATTTTAATATCAATAGAATAAAAGATTGGCCAAAAATAAAAATAAAATTGGACAAATGTAAATTAAGGTTATGCACTTGTTACACAAAACATCATCATAAAATGCAATTCATACTTATACGTTTTATACATCAGAATTAAGAACCATGGCTCTAATACCAATTGATAAAAAACTTTATGGAACATAAACTAAAAACCATTAAGGATTCAATTCTATACATGAAAACTATATGAATTTCTACTATATAAATAAGTGTATACATACCTTGATCCATGATAGTATGAAAGCCTCTTTTGAGAAAAAGAAACCTTGAATAAAAGACCTTTGATCTTCTAGTTCTTTATTTGTCTAAGATCTTCAAACCACTTCTCTCTCTCTCTAGGCGATAGGAGCCTTCTTGTGGTGACAACTTGAGTTTTTGCTATGGAGAGTGTGGTTTGGGACCTTACACTATTTATACTTGTATTCTTCCCATCAAAAAATCTATTCATTCAATGAACTTCATTAAATAGATTAATGTATCTTTTACATTCATGATACATAATGCATCTTCTATATTAATGAACTCATTAGATAGATTGATGTATCTTCTACATTCATAATAGATACATAATGCATCTCTGAAATTCATTGATAATGAATCTATCACATTCAATGCATTGACACTATCTCTATTAGTCTCCTATACATTATGTATATATATGTGCATTCATCAATGCTTAGTCACCATCTAATTGATGTAATGTATCTTACTTAACGAGATGAATCTAGTATAATCATATATAAGCCACATTAAGCCATATTTAGGAAAAATTCTTACACTATATACTTGCTCTGTTGCCAAACCTTTCGTTAACGGATCCACAATATTCTCTTTAGGTTTTATATAATCTATTGAGATTATTTTAGTTGAGAGCAATTGCTTTACGGTATTATGTCGACGACGAATATGTCATAACTTACCATTATACATGGATGCAAATAGCTGGCACATGTTTTGGCCACATTGGAATGTCTTCTAAGAAGTAGCGAAGCCATTCTGCTTCTTCTTCGGCTTTGTCTAAAGAAATGAACTTCGATTCCATTCTGGATCGTACGATGCATGTTTGTTTCATGGATTTCCAAAAAACAGTAGCGTCCCCCAGAGTAAAAACAAATCCACTAGTGGATTTTGAATCTTTAGTATCGGATATCCAATTGGCATCACAATAACCTTCCAATACTGCAGCATATCGAGTAAAGTTCAAACCAAGATCACGGGTAAATCTTAGATATCTAAAAACCCGAATGATCGCTTTCCAATGGTCTTCTCCGGAGTTACTAGTGTACCTATTCAATTTACTAACAGCATAAGCTATATCAAGACGAGTACAATTCATTAGGTACATTAGGCTTCTAATGATTTGGGAATATTTTAACTGAGACACCGCTTCACCTTTATTTTTCGATAAATAAAAATTGATGTCTACAGGTGTTCTTGCTACATTCACATCATCCTTAATATATTTACTAAGAATTTTCTCAATATAATGAGATTGTGATAATGCATATCCATTAGATGTTTTAGTAATTTTCATTCCTAATATAACATCTGCGACTCCCATATCTTTCATATCAAATCTTTTGTTCAGTATTTGCTTGGTTGATTTGATCGTGTTTTGACTGCTTCCAATGATAAGCATGTCATCCACATAAAGACAAATGATGACATAATCTTTGTTAGTGTTTTTAACTTAGACGTATTTGTCACATTCGTTTATCTGAAAACCATTAGTTAGTATAGCATGATCAAATTTTTCATGCCATTACTTAGGAGCTTGTTTTAATTTATAAAGAGATTTTACAAGCCAACAAACTTTGTTTTCTTACCCTGGCACTACAACCCCTTTGGATTGCTCTATATAGATCTCTTCGTTTAGATCATCGTTTAAAAAAGCTGTATTAACATCCATTTGATGTATCTCTAAATTATACAATGCTGCTATAGCAATAAGCATGTGGATAGATGTTATTCTTGTCACAGGGAAATATGTGTCAAAATAATCCAACCATTCCTTTTGTCTGTAACATTTTATCACAAGTCTTGCTTTATACTTATCTATTGAACCATCTGCTTTCATTTTTCTCTTGAATATCCATTTATACCCAAGAAGTTTAGAATCGGGTGGAAGATCCACCAATTCCCAAGTATGATT